ATGAAGAAAGTAATCAAAGTTGAAGTTTCAAAATTATTGGACTATAGAAAATGTGGAAGAATCTACCATAGTTTAAAATATTCAGCTTGTTTGTTTTGCAAACAGGAGGCTGGGTTATGAAAACAAAGATATGCACCACAAAAAGAATCTCTTATCAAAAACTATTCTGAAATAAAGTTATGATAACAGTTTCAACTTGTTGCTTGCTATACAACCATGTTCTATTACTGGGCTCTATTTTCTTACTGAGGTTGCACGACATTACTGTCTATTCAAGTAAAAAGACCTATCAAGAAAATATAGCTATCAAATAACTGCCAGGGGGCACTAGAATAATCTAATCATATTTCATTGCTGAATTACACTTAATTTAATGGAAAAAATTATCAAAATTATTGGACTTCTTTGAAAAAATAGAAGCAACAGCTTCAAAAGGTTTTGAATTTTCTAAATTTTACTCCGTCTCCTGCCACTTTAAAAAAGAACACAAGGCACATATGCTGCCTGAGCCCTTGTGCTGCCTGTGCTCATGTGGCTGAGTACATGTGGTGCCCGAGCACATGTGTCACCCGCATCTCCCCTCTTGAGATGTGTACTTTCATGCTTTCATATCTAATGCTGGGATGTGTGTAGGGGCTCTCTCTTGGGCAGGTTACTCTCCATTCTCTCCCACTTTTCTCCCTCCTTCCCTTCAAAACTTCCAAATAAAAACTGTGTAATTAAAAAATAAATAAAAATAAAAAGAACACAAATATGGCAGCATTTGGGGCCAATTTTAATCAGCATTAACTCTAAAATGGAAATCCTAAAGAAAAAGAATCTTTATCCCCATTTACTGCACAGGCTCCAAACAAGTCAGCACCGAATCTGTGAAATGTTACTATTCCTTATAGCTTCAGCTTCCTATAGGGAAGATTCACCTTTCCAGTCAATAGAAGACTATTCAAATTAAAGTCGTATGTATTATTTACTCCCAGATGTGTGCTATTAAACATACCACATAATATTAAAAGTGAGGAGCACAGGTAGGGTACAGATGGAAGGGAAGTCACTTTTATGGCATCTTAATTCTTCTTCTTGTTTTACCTTCCAGATAATTTAATAGCAGACATAATATTATTTTACACTCTCCTGATATAATTGCTGAAGGACAAAGGCAAAGAAACAGCAGCCTAGAGACATGACCCTCACCAGTGCTGGCTCTTACTTAGAACTAGTTTCTTCTAAAAGTCTCACAGGATATCTCTCTTATAAAATCTTTACTTCCCCTTGAAAATCTCATTTTCAGTTGCAAATAAAGATTTAAATGCTTCTAGAAGAAATATGTACCAAAACTATCAAAGCGATTAATAATACCAAGCACAGAGGAAAAAAAACACATCAAAGTTTCAGCACATTATTTGCTGACTAATGTCTTCTATGCAGTCCATCTGCATTAAATGGAAGTGCCAAAACTCAGACATGTTAGCAGATGGTACCAGTACTGGTTGGCATGTACACTGGTGCTATTCAGAAAGATGAAACACAATTCCCTTGAAGGAGTTCTATAATTGCTAAAATAGTAATGTATGTAACTGAAAAACTATAGAATCTTTACACTTGGGCATTAGCTCCAAAAGACACATTTTTGGTATCTTGCTCTCTAGTTTAACTCATGAGCAGCAATTATCTCTTTTCAAACATTAATACTTCTTAACTAGGAATGTGTATCCTAAGTACCCATAAGGGAATTTTCTCTAGGTGGTCTTCAATCACCAGTTCATAGGCCAGTACTCATTCACTGGTGATAAAGGTTAAAAACTACTGATTCATCACCGTGGTTTTAACTACCATGGGCAAATATGCAAAAAAGGTATAAAAGGTTGAAGAATGTTGTTCTAAACTATTTACATCTAGGCCACACCTGGGGCAGAGCTTGTGCATGTGTATTTTGAAAAGTTTTTCAATTGATTGCTAAGTATGTCCCTGGTTGAGGACAATCCTCATGACCCAATATTTTAAAATAATTTTGGCATAAGCATATGCACAAAGCAATATAATTCTGCTTTATTCCTTGTGGTTTCATCTAAATGCTACCCTTTGCAATCCCATTCATTCCCTCTGAATTTCTGCCTCTAAAATTTCCTTAGAGTTTCTGTAATTTAGTCATTTCCAGAAAAATCTGAGGCTCAATCAGTAAATTTTAGGCACTCTTCATTTTGGAGGACTGGATTCCAACTTAGATCAGCAAATCTTTTCAAAACAAAGCCATATCAACATATAGACATTTAGTCCACACTTATCTAGAAGAGTTGTATACTATAGGAAATACTGTCAAGAATGCAACAAAAACATGAGGCAGTTCTTATATGCTCAAAGGAGCAAATATTACATAATTAGTGTGAAAGCATGCGACAAGTTCATAATAATTAATACATAACAAAACAATATATTGGTGTTAAATTGCTAGTATTTACAGACATGCATAAGAAAACTATAGACAGTGAAGAAAAACAGGTCTTTGGATGGAAGATATCACTGGATGGCAGATATGAAGATTAGACTAGCAATGCAGGCAAAAGGGTCTATTTATCCTGTAATCCTAGAAAAATCACCAAGGTTTTAAAGCAGCAGAACATAGAGAGAGCAGTATTTAAGGAATGCATATTTTTGTAAAAAATAAAGAATATATGAATATGAGATAAGTAATCAGGTGACCTAAGAGAATAACTAGGATGTGGGACATAGCAACGGTTTTACAAAGAACTAAGTGGAACCTGGTGATTGTCTGGTTTGAGTATCCATCTTGTTACAGAAAGGAGGCAGACAGAAAATGAGATTAAAGGGTAAACCAGGAGAGGGAACAAATCAAAACTGCTAGCTAAAAATAGGGGAACAATAACCCAGCAGAAGTATCTGCACTGGGCACAGGGTTTTGGAACAAAGAGAAAAGAACTACACAGATGATAGACGGTAGGAGGAAAATAAGAGGTTAAAGACTGAATCTGGAGAAATGGCTCATGAAAGACCACAAGAAATAAGCAGAATGAAGGATATTAATGAAACTCAACCTATAAGTCAGGAAAGAAAGTACAGAATTCATCTAAACAGTTTTCTGCAAAGAGGTCTCTGAAATTGACATAAGTCTAGTCTCAGCGACCCCTTGAGTAATCTAACACACAGGACACATCTTTCATCTTTACTTACTGACTGACCATACCAGTCACTCAGTAGACAAATGCTTATAGTTTTGGTAACACTGATGTAAACATAATCATAGATTATGACTTCAGAATATTATAATATGCTTCTTTATGGGAGAGATTATAATCAGTTTATGTCCCCCACAGTGACCCTCACTAGGCTGCCATACTACCATAGCTCTAGTAATCTTTTAGGAGTAATTTAACCTGATCGCAACTGCCCTAGTGACTGCTGTGCTGAATTCAAGAAGATACAGATTTTAGAGTACATGAGCCGTGTTAGGCAATGTGTGCTAGAACTTCATCACCAAAACAGGTAACTAGAAAAGGGCAAGATGGCCATAAATTTCAGTATGTGGTCATGTGGTAAAACTCAACTTCAGCCCTGCACAAATCTGAGCAACAATGGTGCTCATGCCCTTTGCATATGTGTGGCAGGACTAGGAAGTAATTCCAGCTCCTGTTTAGGAGTCAGGATGCATAAATCCTTCTTACATAAATGTCAGTAAGTTTGGTTATAGGGAGAAAATTGCAGATTGCATTTACTGAGTTCTTTTTCTAGGCTATTATGCTTACTAAATTCAGCCATCTCTGGGACTCTATGATGTTATTCAACCTCCCCAATTTCCCCCATAGCCTTAGGTTTACCGCTAAGCTTTAGACTGCAGTTGCTAAGATAAATTTTTAGCCTAACTGAAAGTTAAACCTGAAAATGCATTTCTAACCCCAAATAGGAAGAGTCAATTAAGGAAGAGCCCCACATGGACAGCACTAGCACTGAAAAGACCTGGCATCAGGGAAAAGCTCCTGAAGGAAAGAGCTGCAAGACAGAGACAGTCTTCTCCTAAAGGATTAAAGACCAAACAGACAAAGGAATGCAGAGGATCTGCTCAATGCCTCACACTTCTAACTTCCCTTAACAGAAGTGTATTAAGTGTTAGTGCTTCAAAATGGCATTGTTCTAGAAGAGTTCTCTGTGGGTCTTTTATTATTTTTAACAGCTTTGCTGAAATAATTTACACTTCATAAAGTCTACGTTTCAGAAATGAGAAACTCTCAGTTCATCACCCACCTTCTAGCTACACTTCATTAAACAAATTCACCCAGAAAATAAAAGAGTCATTTCTTAAATCCTTAGTAATGTAGCACATCATCTTGACCCTCTGATAATATTCCCTAGTAACTCAGCTTGTATCAGTGGAAAGAACATCTTGACAAAATTCCGTCTATTAAAATTCAAACTATAAAACCAATGATTTTTAGTACTATATTTCAAAAGTGGGCTGGAGCAATAGCACAGCGGTAGGGCATTTGCCTTGCACGCGGCCAGCCCGGCTGAGCTGGGTTTGATTCCTCTGCCCTTCTCAGAGAGTCCAGCAAGCTACCAAGAGTATCTCGCCCGCATGGCAAAGCCTGGCAAGCTCCCCGTGACGTATTCGATATGCCAAACACAGTAACAATAAGTCTCAAAATGGAGACGTTACTGGGCCTGCTCAAGCAAATCGATAAATAACGGGAGGACAGTGATTTCAAAAGCAGCTGACTGAAAATATCATTATAGGTCCTTATATGACCATTTTGTAGAATCTCTTTTAGGAGACAAATTTTAATTACTGCATCTAAAGTGGAAACCACAAATTCTTAAAAACTACTCCTTCCCCAGTTTCTTCTCAACTATTTTTTTATTCATTTTTTACCAGGTGGCATACCTTTTGGGGGATATTGGGGCCTACACAGAGCTTTTATTTTTAACTGAATGATAATATGAGTATTTAAGCAGGTTTTCCCTTCAAAATGAAAGTACAAACATTAACTTACATGCTCTCACAGAATCTGTTCAGGGTGCTGGGCTTCTCCTGGTTACGTCTCTGTCGAAACCAGTGTTGAATACTGCGAACATCCCAATCCAGCTGCTTGGACAGGCCTTCCAATCTCTTCTCATCAGGATGCTACAAAACAACACAACAGGAAAACCATGTTCATCTTCACCAGAAATAGATCTGACCTTATCTATATTTCAAGAACTTTTTCCTATTTTTTTACTATCAAGAGATGTCTATTTTTCCCACTGGGAACCCTTGACTTTCCAGGGGTAACATGATTTTATGTCAACCACTTAGGACAAAAAAATTATTCACTATGAAACAACATTTAAAAATATGCATCATGAGGAGGGCAGGAGGGCAACTGGGGACATTGGTCACAGGAAATAGACACGGTGAAGGGATGGGTGTTGAACACTGTATGACTGAAACTCAACCATGAGCAACTTTGTAACTGTGTATCTCATGATTTAACAAATAAAAAATAATTTAGAAAAAGAAAAACATGGATCTTGCTCTAATACTTATACTCTTTATTAGGAACAAAGATTTGAAGAAAAAGCTAACTGGCAGAGTCAACACTCTAACAGTCTTCTAAAGGAAAGGGGCTGCATAAAGGTGAATTTTTTAAAGATCTCATTCAAATGTTTCATCTCTTTGGAAGAAAAATGTTATACTCCACTATCATATATCAAGGTAAAGTGGGACAGAAAAATCACATAGAATAATCCCAAATACCTTGCTTCAGAGTCTCCTGCCCCCAAGCCTGGCTGTCCTCACCGGGGCCCTTTCGGGGGAGGGCGGTTGAATCCCCCGTCCTCTACACCCGAGCAGAGCCCCAGCAGCCAAAGACCTCCAGAACTAGTCACAGCCATGCTGAGGCCACTCTCCACACGTCCAGACAAGCCTCATGCATGAAGAAACAGGCAGAGGAACCCAGGCATGTGGGTCCCAGGGCTGAGATCTCCAAGCCTGCTCGGATTGGGACTGGGCCTTCTCCACCCAGATCCCCCATCTTCCAGTAGGTTGGCGTCACACCCACCAGCTGCCACAGGTGCCAGATTGGTCCCATCAATGGCCAAGACACAGAGACCATAAAACCCAGCTCCTGGAAGTGCACGGCTGCAAATGCGGCCATGCGACATCTTATTATCTTGTTTTTCCTTTGGAGAACCCGGCAGGCTACCGAAAGTATCCTGCCCTCATGGCAGAGTCTGGCAAACTTCCTGTATCGTACTCAATATGCCAAATACCAGTAACAATGATGGATCTCATTCTCCTAACCCTGAAAGAGCATTGAATATGGCTCTTTTAAAATCTCAGGGCTGGGAAGGAGACGTTACTGGTGCCTACTTGAGGCAATCAACAAACAACAGGATGATCGTGATCGTGATCGTGACCTTGCTTCAGCTCAGAGCACCAATTCCACTGCATACTGTCTTTTCCTCTTCCACCTTTCCTTGTTCTTCACACGTCTTATATTCCTTTTTCTGTTTATTCACATTAACCATATCCCCATCAAACATTTTACAAAGACTATGTGTTATTTCAAGATGTAAACTGGAAGTAGAGAGACTCTATCTATGCTTGCCATCTGATGCTATTCTGTCAACCAACAGGTAAAATTTTAAGTTCCACTGACTTTTCTAAACTTCAGTTTCCTCATAGTGAGTGAAAATGGAGGTAGGGAGGTTAATTTATACACCTAAGTGGAATTGGATGAAGATGAAATACTTAAAAAGTATGTAAAAATCATCCCAAAAATTCATTATTTTTCAAATTTATTATTTTTCTACCCCTCCTCTCCTTTCAATGAGTAAGTACTCTTTAGAGAGTATCCTGATAACACTGCATGAAAATGACCAGACATAAACTAAGTTGAATTGGTTCTATTCCTTTATTTATTTTTTCCTGTAATATTAATGTGATATTAAGAAGCAAACAGAGCTAGAGATATTATTTTTCATTACCAACCTTTAATAACCAAAAATGAGGTGTGTATGTGGTGGGGGTGAGGGCTTAAAAGGTCAAGTCAGACTTATGAGCTTTCAAGGTATAACAGTGGAATGCCACTTTTTTAAAGCACCTCAAACAACTCAAGATGTCAGACACAAAAGAAATGGAATAAATGATCTGTGTAATGACTGAAGATACAAAAAAGTAGTGAACTTGTATCTGTATTAGTTATTGCCAACTTTCAATGAAGTATATAGTCAGAATTTTTTTAGTATAAAGTTACAATATATTGTAATAAATAGATTTCTTCAGTCTTTCTAAATTAAAAATTAAGAAAGAGAGAGGACCAGAGTGATAGTAAAGCAGGTCGGGCTCTTGCATGCAGGCCAACCAAGGTTCAATTTCTAGTACCATAAATGGTTCCATGAGCCAGCCAGGTCACACAGTCACAGTATGGTCCAAAACACAAAAAAACAAAAACACTTTGTAAGGAGAAAATTCACAGCCTAAAATATATCTTGGATATACCTTTTTTTGCTCGAGCGGGTCCAGTAACATCTCCATTGGAGACTTTGTTGTTACTGTGTTTGGCATATCGAATACGTCACGGGGAGCTTGCCAGGCCTTTCACAAGGGCTGGAGCGATAGCACAGTGCACGCAGCCAACATGACCAACCCGAGTTTGATTCCTCCACCTCTCTCGGAGAGCCTGGCAAGCTACCAAGAGTATCTTACCCACACGGCAAAGCCTGGCAAGCTCCCCGTGACATATTCAATATGCCAAACACAGTAACAAGTCTCACGATGGAGATGTTACTGGGCCCGCTCGAGCAAATTAATCAATAATGGGAGGACCATGATACTTTCACAAAAGAGAGTATTCACTTGCAAAAACCTCATTGACAAATTATGGTAACAGACATTTCAGTATATTTTTCCAGTATGATACATTTAAATTAGCACCTCAATATAGTCATTCTATTCTTGAGAAAACCAACTTTATGTATGTATTTTAAAAACAATTATATTTCCTTTTATAAAAATCCTTTAATGTCTGCCAGCCAACTTTTCTTGATATTTTTTTGTGTGTGTATCTACAGAATATTTGTTTTTGAACCACACCTGCAGTAATAAGGTTTTACTCCTAGCCCTGTGCTCAGGAATCACTCCTGGCAGTGTAGGGGACCATGTGTGGTACTGGAAATTGGACCAGAATTGGCCTCATAATGCAAGCTTGACCCTCCAATTAGTAAAACTATCTCTAAGATCCCAGAACATCTTCACTTACTAAGATGATTGATGTTACAGACAAGGGCCAGAGAGACAGTACATTGGGTAGAGCGTCTGTCTTGCACACAGCCAACCCAGGTTACACTCCCAGCATTCCATATGGTCCCCTGAGCCCTGCAAGACTTATTCCTTTGCACAGAGCCAGGAGTAACCCTTGGGCATCACCAGTGTGGCCCCTAAACTAACAAATAAACAACACAAATAAAAAGCTACAAACATGTAGCATACTTTCTACCAATGGTTAATTTGCATATTAAAATTAGCTTGTGGTATTTTCCTTGTTTGTTCTTTTCTTGCACAAGTATTTTAACATCTGACTTCATTGATATTTTGTTATAGAACCCGAATTTGGGGTCATAAGCAGAAAATCCTTTTCAAACATTAAAGAAATCTTCTCACAATCACAGTTTCTGCATTATGATTTTTCTTTTTATATTCAAGTTAATACATTAGGAATATACCTTGAAATACAGTATAAAGCATAAGTCTAATTTTATTTGTAGATTATTAGCCAAATAACTCAATCCCACTATTCACTTTTTTCCTCATAAGAAATAGAATTAAACTTCTCTGGTTTTATTATTCATGTGTTATATTACAGAGTTAAGTTTCTCAGAAAATCTTATTTTCTATCTGCACATTAGAATTTCTTGTCTAGGGTGGTAATATTATATACAACTGGCTGAGATGGGGAAGAAATTTTAAGTTTGCCACTCATAGGAAAATATGACTGTGCAGTTACAGAAAAGTTTTACAACCATAACATTCTGTTATTTCCTGAAATAACTGTTTGCTCAAACAAGGATCAGCAGCTGTTTCAGTCTGTCCTTTAATATGTCAACATTGATCACCTCCTTTTCCATCTTTAATCACTTCCCATCTTTGATCAGATTTTTCTTCTAAGCTCAAAAACAAAGCCCAGAAGTCTGGTATGATTCTACCAAGTTAATGAGTTACAAATGCTGGATACCCAAAGTGAAAGCAATAAGGTTTAAGACCCTGTTAAAACAGATAAAATGACAAAATAACTGATAAAAAAAAACTCAAGTTTTATTATATGATCATTATAATGTCACTGCATTATAAAAATCACACCCAGCCATGTCACAACAGCTTACAATTACTGTAACAACTCCCACAAGGGACCAAATATGGTTAGAAACTGAGTGGATCATAGGTTCTAAGAAAGTACCACCATAAAAACTCACCTGTCTTTGAAATTTCATATACATTCCACCTCATTCACTCATTCTTTTATTTATTTATTGGGCTGGAGCAATAGCACAGCGGGTAGGGCTGTGAGATACACAGTCACAAGGTTGTTCATGATATATTTCAGTCATATAATTCATTCTATTTCTATTCCAATATGACCTAGAAACTGTTGTGGAAACAGTGCTACTCCCTTTGGCATATTAACACGCTCGGATAATTGGGGTACACACTCTTGCTTTTAATAAACCATTTTCTGTATTTTCCTAATCTTATTTGCTTCTGAATTCTTTTCTGTGATGAGATGAAGAACCTGGGTTTCCAGGCAAGGCTAAGAGCTTTGGACCTAACCATGCTTTTCCTACAACAGTTTCAGAATATGCAAAATGGTCAAACAAGAAAATGATTTGGTACTTTTAATGAAATTATATTGTTTTTTAATTAACACAGGGTGGATTTTGTCTGATTTACCTAATTGATCTTTTTTGTGCCTCTTCATATACTTTGCATATTTTTGCACTTATTCCTGTGATATCAATTGTGTTTGCCTATTGTAAATAATGTACTTTCCTGTATATCCAAATACTACTTTATCTAAGTATGTAATACGTATATATTTGTTCCATTATTAATATTATGCAAATGGTTCTTATTAGTAATGAATATTT